AACTGGAGAAGACTACATTAACCCTAGTGTGCTCTCAATATGAGGTTACCTTGTATTTATAGCTTTGGAGAATTCATTCATACAAATTACCATTTCTATTTTGATTTGTGTGTTTGATTATATAGGTCTTTTCTAATCAATCCTAAATTAGATGATTTAGAGACCGAAACAAGACTCAATCTCTCACCTAAAATATCATTAGGCCATTGAAGCCCATTTAGGATGGTAAAAAATAAGACTAAAAGCCCATGGCATATTAAACCTCATCCCATACAAAATGCAAAAATAAAAATAAAATGAACATGGATCATGGGCCCAAGTTTACCTCCTACACCATGAAAAAAATAACAATAATAATTTCAAGTTCATAATGATATGGAAAAAAAAAAAAAACATAGGCTTCAAGCCCATATCACCCTACATGCTAACTTAAAATATTAAATTAGGCTCAAAGTCCAAATTCGAAGCTAAATATACAAGAAAAAGAAATTAGTAGCATAAAAAAAAAAAATAGCTCGAACTACATAAACAGTAAAATAAAATAAAATAATAGTAAACAAAAAAAGACCCATCATTGGAACAAAGTCGATCTCGGGTCCCAAACCTACTTCATATAGAATGACCTAGGTGACATCACATAAAATAAACAAAAAAAAGTAAGATAAAAAATATGTAAAAAAAAAAAACACAAATCACATAAAAATGACTTCATGAAAAAATAAAATAGCCAATAAGTCTCCATAAGGTCATTGACCTATAAATTTAGATTTTCCTTATTTTAATTTTTTCTAAAATTGCTAGCGTATTACTAGCTTTATCATTGACCAATTGTTCCTCACAGAATTTTATTAAAAATAAAAATAATATACAATCAAGTCATTACTCGTAGCCCCATTTTTTTTAAATAATAACAATAATGTATAAAAATTCTCTACCCAATAAAAATCACCCATCACCCATTTATCACACACACACATCAACTAATTTAAATTGTAATTCTTTCAAATCCATTAAATAACATCAAAAATTCTAAATTTAAATATTTTCAATTAAGCCCAAATTAAAAATTTTTAATTCAATTAATCATCCTAATCTCGTGTTAATCACATAATTCGTATTGTAGAATATAATCAATAATATAATCATGCAATCCATAAATTTGGATGAAAATTAAAAAAAAAAAAACAATTTCAAGCACAAGGGTATAATAATGAAATTAAAAGTTCAAGGATCGAATTGAACACAAGCAAAACAAGGAGAAGGAGACGGACTTGGCATGAGTGGCACGTGCTTGAGGCATTGTCCGACCTACTTGCACTTGTGAGGGAACGTCAAACACCGGATGGGTTGTGGACCAAAAGAGTTGGCTTCATCTCCGCCTTTCGATCATGGTAGTATGATGCGTGACTCATTCTTTCAACTAGAGGAGGAGCGACGACATTATAAACTTCGACTCCTATCTTTGGCTTTTTAGGTTTTATTTTTTTAACTCGTTAGGTTTTTTTATTTTTTCTCTCTTGGGTGGTTGTCATCTATTCCTCTTTTTTTTTGTGTATGCTTGGTATTTATAGGGGTGCTTTTAGAGTTAACTTAGGATTTTTTTTTTCGTTCTAATTTTCCTTTTTTATTATTAATTAAGCCTCACCTAATGCCCGATCTAGGTCCATTCCTTATCTCTTTTTTAAATCCTAATCTAGGCCTAATTTCTTTTTTTTTCTTCTTTTTTTAATTTTTTTTATTTTTTTATGGGGGAAATAAGGCGATGACGAGTTACCACTCTTTTTACAATGCTTACACATCAAAGATGTATGAAGACAAGTCTTCAAACATCTTAACTTAGTGAGCTTGTAAAGAAGAGATTTAATAAATAAAAAATGACAAATTCAAAGAAATGAACCACTTATAGGTGATTCAACTTTAAAAATGAATCAAATATACGAACCGTCTTGGATGATTTGACTTTAAAAATAAATAAAATATGCAAACCACCTTAGGGTGATTTGATTTTTAGAAATACATAAATATATAAATTCTCTCAAAGTGAAGCAATCAAATATACAATCCCTCTTGAAAAGAATGAACTTTAAAAAGAAAATCAATCAAATATATGAACTTTTTTTGGAGGCGATTTGATTTTGAAAAAAAATCAATCAAATATACGAATTCTTATCGAGTGATTTGATTTTAGAAAAGAGAATCCATTAAATATTCAAACCCTTGTAAGGTGAAGAAATATACGAATATTTTTGGGATTTTGGATGATCTTCTTAAGAGAAATATTGGTCATCTCGATAGGGTGAACATTGGATGTTTTTCAAAGTTGGTCATCTTAATAGGGTGACCATCCGAACGTTTTTTTTTAAAAGAAAACTAGTAATCTTGATAAAATGGTCACTTAGACATTTGTGAATGAATTACTTGTGGAGAAGAGATATGATTGAAAAGAGAGAAATTTGTCGGCTATGAGGGATAGCCTCTTGGTAAATGGTTCACTATATCGGGATGACCACCTAGCAAATGGTTCACTATAATAAAGTGACCTCTTGAAAAATGGTTCACTAACATAGGGTGAAGTTATGGTAAATCTTTCATTATTATGGGGTAACCTCCTAACAACTAGTTCTCTAAGACAGGGTGAACTTCGAAAAATGGTTAACTATTAAAGGGTGACCTCTTGGCAACAAGTTCTTTAAAATAAGGTGACCTTTAGGAAACTTTGGATTTTGGTTATCTCAAAAAGGTGACCACCTAAACCTTTTTTTTAAAAAAAAAAAAAAAAAAACTTGATCATCTCAATAAGGTGACCATCCGAATGTTTTCCAAACTTGGTCATCTTGACATGGTGACCACTTGAATGATTTTCAAACTTGGTCATCTTAACGGGGTGACCACCTTAATGTTTTTAAAATTTGGTTTATGATGAATGCCTTTAAAAAGAAAGTTTTGTCATTCTTATGCTCGAGTTCTCTTTATCTATGGTAATGACAGATTATGGGTTATGTAAGGATAATACCTCCTAGAGAAGTCTACATCGCACCTTACAAAACTTAACCCCTCATCTCAAATTTAGAATATCAACTCGGATCTTGTGTCTTGATTGCTAGTTTGTTAGAGCTTCTAGAACAAATGTTGTTTCGAACTTGCTACTAGTTTACATTACATGTAAAATGTTATCTTCCTCCTATCATTGGGTCATAATACCACCAAATTAAATTCATAACCTTTGAATCATCTTCATGCCCTTTGTTTATTGTTGAATTCTTAATGGCATCATTTATGTGCCTTCATCAAGCACTCGACACGTGTTGAATAATATTTACCCCCAAGATGCTCACCAATTGGTCATGTTTTGCTATTCTCATACTTTCTAGATTCAATTTATTTCACCATTGAAGAACACTTAATGTCATCTTCTTACCCCCTTGTTGAGCCATTATCCCATGGATCTACTTATTTTTATGTTGTCTACTTACCCTTTTTTTAGCTAATATACTACGGCCATGCACACTTACATTCTATCTTTATTTAACTAATTGATCGTAATCAATGTCATCCTTGATGATTCGTTTGTTCAAATCTTTAGGTCATACCTTGTAAATTCGATTCTATTTAACAACGACATTGTGAAACAAATCATTTAGCTTTAAGTCGAGTAATAGAATTTAATGGTCTTTTCCTTATCGATCTAGATTATAACAAAGAAATCTTAGGGATATATATTAAAAAGTATTCACGTTTATGAATAGTTTGATTGATAATCCAAAATATATAGTTCAAATACTAGGTTACAATCATGTTTAGGTTGCAAAAGCGTTTTTGTAAATAGATATCCTTTGGTGCTCTTTGTAAAGTGATCAAAATCTTGCATGTGTTGGAAAATGAAAGGCTCGAATTGTAATTTTATAAAATATGAGGTCATATTTAGAATGGGTCGAACTCAATTGTGGTTTTTGATTTGAAATAACAACTTTGCCTTATCTTTTATTATGATTTGATGCCATAAATAATGATATAGAACATACAAGTAGATTAAAAATCATTTTGTTTTTCTTATTAAGGATATAACCTATTCGCCTAAACAACTTGTTTTCATTAAAAATGTCTTTGAAAAGCACGTAACGTAGGCTAGTATTAGGGTCTTGAAAAAAAGGTATAAAGGCTCAAAGTATGTTTAAGAGATTGAAGACTAAGGATTACCTTAACGATCACAAATGCTTCCTCTTGACTTGATTGCTTTTATAAAATATTTTATTTTTTTATGAATAATGGTTTTGGTAAATTCTCAATTATCTTTTTTTTCTTTTTTTTTAGGAATAAACATGATGTGACCATTTTAGGATGATTGTGATTATGGTTGTACTTTTTACAAAATTCGATGGGCCAAGGAGACCTCCAATCCGGTTCACATATTTCGAAAGAAGAACGGGGGCTTTCCTAGAGCTGGAATGGATACTGGGTCTAAGCATAATAAGTAAATGGGGGCCTAAGAGCAAGCACAAGACGGGGACGTTATCGTGGCATTAGAAGGGGCGAGTGTACGCGTGATTGCAAGTTTGTTATGAACTTTTGTCCTTTATGATGAGCTGGCCATTCGTTATGCGGTGGAGTCTACAAATAAGGAATCATAGGAATGGGGTCATTATGGGGGGAATATTTTGTAATTGAGTAAATTTGATTAGAGAGAAGGCGAGGCTCTCAAAATCCCGTTGGTGTCATCCTTACATTAGCAACATTAATATACAAATTCCCCATTTCTCATCCCACCGTCCTCTTTTACATTTTTTCATTTCTTAATTCTTCGTCATACGGACTTGGTTCTATCAATTGGTATCGAGCCCATAGCTCCTACTGTGGGTAATGACCGGGACCGGAATGGAAGCAAGAGTTGATCGGTTAGAGGAAGACGTGAAAGGATTAAATGCAAACATGACTCGCCGATTTCACGGATACGGGAGACGCAACTCAACATTCAACGGATCCCGAAGAATCGGGGGCAAAGCATGGAACATCCTGCTGAATCCGAGTACGACGGATCTTGCGCGGTGGATACAACGGTAACCGAAACCGAAGAAGCGATTAACGCTATTACGATGGCATCTAGAGCCGAGAAAGTGTTGAAGACGGATAAGCACCCTCGAAATTGGAACTTCCGAGTGTTTGATGGTGAGGGAGCCGACTCTTGGATTTTTCGAGCAGAGAGGTATTTTTCGATAAATCGATTATCGGAGGTAGACAAGCTCGGAGGTTGTGGGAGTGTGCTTTGAAGGAGAGGCCCAAGCATGGCTTCGCTTTGAAGAGCGGGGCAAGGCTTTTACTTCGTGGGAAGAATTGAAGGCACGGATCCTACACGGAGTTCGTCGGGTTACAAGATGGTCCCCTGCTTCATCGGTTCTTTACGGTTAAGCAAGAAGGAACAATCGCGGAATATCGAGCCCGAGTTTAAATATTTGGCGACATCGGTAGGGGTGCTTGATGACGACACCATGGCAGCTTGTTTTTGTAAATGGTTTAAGTGAGAAGATCGGAAGCAGAGCTGTTGGTGTTGAACCCAAAAACGTTGAAGGAGACTATAGAGACTACGGGCTGGATTGAGAGGAAGAATCAAATCTTAAGCTCAACCCTTAACCCAAAAGCCCACAAAGAACCCCCTTCAATCCAATACAAACTTGATATCAAATCCATTTCATGGACGCCCACTAGACCATACAACCCGTTCAATAACCCTTCAAACACCACCCTCACCAAAACCGTAGCAAGTAACCTAAAACCCATCACAACTCACCAACAAAACCCTAACCACGGATCCGACAACAAAACTCCTACCACCTCATTACCACCCCGTTTTCAAAAGCCGACCCCAGCTGAAGCTCAAGCCAAGCGGGAATAAGGCCTCTGCTTCAGTTATGATGAAAAATGGTAGTTCGACCATCGCTGTAAAAACAGGAAGCTACACGTATTATTGGTTAGTGAAGGTGACGAACCCGATGTTAGTGACAATGAAGAGAGAACAAGGGTCGAGGAGGTCTGTAGAAGGAGTTGAGTTATCCTTGAACTCGGTAGTTGGACTCTCCGAACCTCGCACATTAAAGCTAAAGGGGGAAGTGCATGGAGTAGAAGTGGTTGTGCTTATTGATCGTGGAGCTACCCACAACTTCATCTCTACGGGGTTGGTGGAAGTTCTTCGGTTACCCATCCAGGAGACTTCGCAATATGGAGTAGTAATTGGTTCCGGGAAGCCTCTAAAAGGAATGAAGGTTTGCAAAGGAGTTGTTCTTTAATTACGAAACTAACTATAGTCGAAGATTTCCTTCCTTTACCATTAGGAAGCACGGACGTGATTTTTTGAGTGAAATGGCTTGCCACCTTAGGGGAAACACGTGATGATTGGTGGAGATTGATAATGACCTTTGAGTTGGGGGACAAAACTATAGTGCTTCGAGGAGATCCTAGCTTAACTAAAGCTTTAGTGTCCCTTAAAACTATGGTTAAGGAATTCCAGCAGGAGAAGGAAGGCTTGTTGGTGGAAGCTGCTGCATGTCTCCGTGCAGGAAAACGAGCTAAGGAGTGTGAGGTCTTCGTCGTCGAGAGCTTTTGACGGAATTTACGGATGTGTTTGATACACCTATTGGCTTACCTTCGGAGCGTGGCCATAAACATGCGATTGTTTTGAAAGAAGGAGAAGGCCCAATCAATGTTCGACCCTATCGATACCCACAAGTGTAGAAGATAGAAATTGAGAAACCGGTTTCGAGATTTTATCCACCGGTATCATTCGACCGAACGTGAGCTTTTTTTCGAGTCCTGTGCTTCGCTGGTCGGTAAAAAGGATAGGAACTAGTGGTTTTGTGTTGATTATCGGGCTCTCAATTGCGCCACCGTGCCGGATCACTTTCCTATTCCTAATATTGATGATTTGCTTGGATGAACTACATGGTGCAAAGGTCTTCACCAAGTCTGGATCGCAAGTCCGGCTACCATCGGATCCACGTGAAGCGACTGGAGGATATTCCAAAACGACCTTTCGCACACATGAAGGGCACTACGAGTTCATGGTGATGCCGTTCAATTTAACCAACGCACCAGCCACTTTTCGAGCATCGATGAACACGAGTCTTTAAACGACTTCTCCGTCGGTATGTACTAGTCTTCTTTGATGATATCCTCATCTATAGTATGTCTTTGGCCTAACTTGCGAACCGTATCGACCCTTTCACGTGAGTACCAACTATTTACAAACGCAAAGAAATGCTGTTTTTATCGACTGGAAGTAGAGTATCTTGGCCATATCATTTCAAAAAGGGGGTATCCGTCGATCCTAGCAAGGTGAAGGCCATGGAAGAGTGGCCCCCGCCCGAAGTCCTAAAGAGCTACGAGGCTTTCTTGGGTTGACGGGATACTACCGTTGCTTTGTTCGAATTATGAAAAAATTACGGCTCCCCGACATAATTACTCAAGAAAGACTCCTTTGAGTGGACCGAGGAAGTAAGTGAAGCCGTGAATGACTTGAAGATAGCCATGAAAATCGTTCCCATCTTGGCTCTTCCCAACTTCAATGACTCGTGGAAACGGATACATCCGGGACGAGCCTTGGTGTTGTTTTATCTCAACGGGGATGACCCATTGCTTTTTATAGTCGTGCTTTGATAAGTCGAGCTCGTTACAAGTCGGTTTATGAATGAGAGTTGATGGCAATTGTCATGGCAATTCGAAATTGCATCACTACTTGCTCGGGCAACATTTCGTTATCCGCATTGACCGAAATCATTGCGTTATCTCGTTGGAGCAACGAATGGTGGCCCTAGAATATCGGCGGTGGCTAACTAAAATTATGGGTTATGATTTTGAGGTGCGGTATCGACTCGGCCCGGAGAATAAAGTAGGCGATGCTCTGTCACACATTCCTCATTCGACGGAACTTCGGGCCATCTCGGTTCCCTCTTGGATAGATTGGCGAGTGTTGCGATAGGAAATTGAATAGGACCGACGCTTCCATGAGATAAAGCGATCTCGCAAATGGATCCTACCTCTAAACCGAGCTGGTCGCTAGTTCACGGTGTGTTGTATTTTCAAGGAAAGCCGATAGTGCCTCAAACCTCTTCCTTAATTCTTAAATTCTTAGCGAGAATTCCATGACGACTCTATAGGGGGACATGGAGGGTTCTTGCACACCTATAAACGACTATCTAGCGAGCTGTATTGGGAAGGAATACGGGCTGCTATCAAAAAATATATAGAGGAGTGTCCAACGTGTCGGCAGAACAAGTGTCAAACTCTCTCCCCGGTCGATCTTCTTCGACCCTCTACGGTTCCTCGAGCGATATGGGAGGATCTTAGCATGCATTTCATTGATGGCCTCCCAAAGTCTCAAGGATATGATTCTGTTCTTGTTGTGGCGGACTCGTCCGAGTAAGTATACGCACTTTATTTTGTTGAAACATCCTTACACTCGCCAAGACGAGTGGGCGACCGACTTCGACCTTCATGGTTCGATTACACGGATTTCCTCGGAGTATCGTAATTGACCGTGATAAGATTTTCTTGAGCCATTTCGGACTAAGCTCTTCCGTCTTCAACATACTCAATTGAAGCGTAACACGACCTACCATCCTCAAACGGATGGGCAAAGTGAAGTTGTCAACCGTTGCTTGGAGACATATCTCCGATGCTTCACTAGGCAACGACCACCGCCGGTGGTCTTAGTGGATTTCTTGGGCTGAATATTGCTATAACACCTCATTTCACACGGCCACCAAGACTTCTCCATTCAAGATTGTATATGGCAGGGAACCTCCCACCTTGATTTGTTATGCACACAACTCCACTTCTAATTCCACATTGGATGATATGCTTAGTGCGGCGTGACACGATGATAGCTAAATTAAAAGAGCGATTCATGAGTTGGCTCTAAATCGCATGAAGCAAGCTGCCGACAAACATCGGCATGACATCGAATTTTCGGTGGGTGATATGGTTTACTTAAAGCTCGTCCCTACGAGCGCGAGTTCTTTGGCTTCCCGCCCAAACGAAAAGCTTGCTCCACGTTACTTTGGGCCTTTTTCCATTGAGCAACGCGTCGGTAAAGTGGCCTACAAGCTCACACTCCCTCCCACCATTACTATTCACCCCGTATTCCATGTATCACAGCTCAAAAAAGCCTTAGGGAACATTGAAACGAGTATAACCACTCCCACATGCCTTGACTCCCGAAATGGAATGGGAGGTTGAACCGAAGCCGTGTCTGGCCACACGGGGCACACCGGAGGACTACAAATTGCTCATTAAGTGGAGGAACTTACCAGAATTTAAAGCCACACGGGAACCACTCCAGCTGATTCAAGAGTTGTTTCCTACATTTCACATTGAGGACAAGGTGATCTGTTGATGGAGGGGTATTGATGGGCCAAGGAGACCTCCAATCTAGTTCACATATTTCATAAAGAAGAACGGGGGCTTTCCTAGAGCTGAAATGGATACGGCTCTAAGCATAATAAGTAAATGGGGGCACGAGAGCAAGCACGAGGCATGGACGTTATCGTGGCATTGGAAGGGGCGAGTGTACGCGTGATTGCAAGTTTGTTATGAACTTTTGTACTTTATGATGAGCTGGCCATTCTATTATGTGGTGGAGTCTACAAATAAGGAATCATGGAATGGGGTCACTATGGGGGGAATATTTTGTAATTGAGTGAATTTGATTGGAGAGAAGACAGGCTCTCAAAATCCCGTTGGTGTCATCCTTACATTAGCAACATTAATATACAAATTCCCCATTTATCATCCCACCGTCCTCTTTTACATTTCTTCATTTCTTAATTCTTCTTTCATACAGACTTGGTTCTATCAAATTCTTTTAGCCTTTTTTTTTATTCAAGAAGCTTATATCTTCTTATTTTAAGCACATTCTACCCCAATGTGAGGGTGATCCTAGTCTTAGGTCATCGTAACAAGAAATTACTAAGGCTCAAAAAGGCACTCGTAAGAAATTTGAATGATGATTATCTATAAAGGATATTCTAAAGATGGTCATTTCTCATCTCAAAACCAATTTGCTCTTGCTGACAAGTTTTAACTATTTTGAGTACTTGTTTGTTTGGAGAAATTTAGGTTTGTGACCTTCTTGTATGTGTTTCATTATCATTTAGATTATCAAATCACTAATGATAAGAATTTCTTTATATGAATGTCATTTGAGTTGAAGATGTGTTTTTGGTTTTTGAAAAGAATGATTTCCCCCGGGTAATTACATGATATGTTTTGGAATTTGGCCCATCTTAGAGGTGTTAATGAATGCACTTATCATTATATTTCTTCCCTTCAAGATTGAAATACAATGCTAAAAGATACTTTTCAATGCATGTTTCTAGATTTCAATTCAATAATAAATTCATGTAAGGAGAAAATTTGATACCATTAAAATATGTCACTTAGTTTAGCAAAACCCAAACAAAATATTTTGATACACGATGTTCAAAAACTAAAAAAAGAACTCAATTTGTAAAGTACGGGCCTATGTCGACCCTTTGTGATCTTGAATATGCTTAGTTAACATTTTCATCTCTATGTTGGCAACTATATAGTTCAACGAGTGGATTGGTGTTTGTGTTTAGTGTGTTGTTATCGAGAAAGATCCAACCATGATCAATTAGAGACTGAAATTTGCTTTTAAAAGTCATGCAATTCTCGATACCATGCCCTATTACATCAAAGTGGTAATCACATTTTTTTATTAGGCTTATACCAATATGGATATGATGTCCGGACTAGATTTACAAGGGTGGGAACAACTTGATCGATATTGTTGAGATGCATAGACAACTCATCTAGAGACAATAGAAAATAGGATAATATGTCTTGGTACCTTGTGCTTTAATTGCTTTTGGGTTGAGG